AAAAAAAAAAAAAAGAAAGAAAAAATAAAAAAATAAAATAAAGGCAAGGATATGACTATCACAAAAGTCAGAATCATGAGCATGTTTAGGGATAAGCTGGCTATGTTCAGGGAGGCACACACAGGAACTTTGGGGATCAAACTCGTCATTTCTGTTCCTCCACCTGGATATTCGTGAGCTATTTTTTAAACCTTACATACAAGTTTTTTGCATTTTTCTATGTGCTACATACAACATATGCTATATACAACAGACTTATCTATATAAACCTGTGTTTGTTATTGATAATTTTTTTGGAAGGAGACACAGGATATTGGTAAGTATGATTACTTCCATAAAGGAGAACTGGGGTTGGGGTATCTGAATAACAGAGGCTAGGAGATGGAGGCTGTAGTGAGCCATGATGACACCACTGCACTGCAGTCTAGGAAACAGAACAAGACCTGAAAAAAAGAAAGAAAGAAAGAGAGAGAGAGGAGACAAAGAAGGAGAAAGGAAGGAAGGAAGAAAAGGAAGGAAGAAAGGAAGGAAAGAAAGAAAGAAAGAAAACTGAAATAAAACATGTAGTTTTGAGCCACTCAGATTTTGGATTTATTTGTTTTTGTAGTGTTACCTAACCTATACTGACTAAAATAGAGCCTTTGCTTTTTCAAGGACACTGTTTCATAAGGGCTTGAGCTCCAGGTTTATTTTCTCTTTCTTGTAAATTATATTATTATTACTATTATCTTTAGAGATAAGGCCTTGCTTTGTTACCCAGAACTCCTGGGCTCAAGCAGTCCTTTCCACCTCAGCCTCCAGAGTAGCTAGGACTACAGGCGTGCACAACCATGCCCAGCTACTTTATTTTATTTCATTTTTTGGTAGAGACTGGGTCTCATTATGTTGCCCAGGCTGGTCTCAAACTCCTGGGCTCAATCACATCTCCCACCTCAGCCTCCTGGGTAGCTGGGACTACAGGTGTGCGACACCATGCCCAGCTAATTTTCCCTTTGATGAATATACCCACATACCTAGTTGCCCCATCCCCACCATATACCTAGTTTTAAACCTGTTCTCTCTAAGAAAAGATAGTTGACTGTGGACTATGGTGAGTCTGTAGGTGCTAGAATGATGAAAGTCAAATTCCTTTAAAGTTTAAAGGAAAACCTGGCTGGGCCGGGCGCAGTGGCTCACACCTGTAATCCCAGCACTTTGGGAGGCAAAGGCGGGCAGATCATGAGGTCAGGAGTTTGAGACCAGCCTGGCCAACACGGCAAAACCCTGTCTGTACTAAAAATGCAAAAATTAGCCAGGTGTGGTGGCAGGTACCTGTAATCCCAGCTACTCAGGAGGCTGAGGCAGGAGAATTGCCTGAACTTGGAAGGCAGAGGTTGCAGTGAGCCAAGATTGTGCCATTGTACTCTAGCCTGAGCTACAAGAGCAAGACTCCATCTCAAAAAAAAAAAAAAAAAAAAAGGTTCAAAGGAAAACTCAAACTGGTGGTTCTCTGCAGAGGACTGTATTCCACCCTTCCCCACAGGTCGACTCTTGAGTGAGGAATTGTCTGCCTCCCCATGAGGAAAAAGAGGGCAGCAAATAGGAGGATGATAAGGTAGGCTGGTGGGGCCGACTCAGTCAGGAAGGGATTTTTCTTGCTTAGGTCCTCTGCATCTCCTTCCCCATATTCCTGAAGACCCGCCTAGTCTGGCCCTGGAGAGAGGATGTAGGACCAGGAGGAGGGTGTCCCTGTCTGAAGGAGGCGTCGGAAATAAGGAAGAGGGGCCGGGCGCGGTAGTTTACGCTTGTAATCCCAGCACTTTGGGAGGCCGAGGCGGGCGGATAACGAGGTCAAGAGATTGAGACCATCCTGGCCAAAATGGTGAAACTATCTCTACTAAAAAATAAAAAAATTATCTGGGCCTGGTGGCACACGCCTGTCGTCCCAGCTACTCGGAAGGCTGAGGCAGGAGAATTGCTTGAACCCGGGAGGTGGAGGTTGCAGTGAGCTGAGATCGCACCACTGCACTCCAGCCTGGTGCCTGGTGACAGAGGGCGACTTGGTCTCAAATAAAATAAAAT